CACTATCTCAACTTGAGAGGTATGGGTAGTTCTGTCGTAAGATAGCTTAATATAGGCTAGAGAAAAATACTACCGAAAATGTTATTATTTTTTTAACTTTTTCAGTAAAATGCTACCTAAAACATTATTTTTCAACCGGAAATGTTAATTTCGTTATTTAAAAACCGGTAGAGAAAATAACGCTCAATATTAATATTTCTGGTATAAAAATAACGTTTTAGGTAGTGCCCAATATTAACATTTCCGGCAGAAAAATAATATTTTAGGTACCGCTTTACCAGAAATATTAAAAAAATAATAACATTTCCAGTAGTATCTTTCCTTAACCGTATATTAAGGATGGTGCACCTGAGACATCCCCAGATATATCTAGCAACTCGAAAACTAACAACCTTACTCTCAAGAAAGAGAACGTTGAATAAATAAAGAAGAATAGTGATAAATAATAATTTTGGAATTCTGGACGAAGAAATGAAAGAAAAAAAAAAGATGGTAAATAAGGAACAAACATGAGGAAAGAAAATATTCAGATTTTTGTTCGATCAGTACATTGAATTAGATATTATGTTCAACAATTAGCTTCAATAAATTTAGAAAGCACGGTGAATATTAAGGCTAATTGAATCAAATAATTGTAATGGACTTTCCTAGTTAGTTGGATTAATTGATTAGTCTTTTGATTGAGTTGTTAGTGCCATGCCAATTGAGCCGTTGATTAAATTGTTAGTTACTGGGTCATTTATAATGTATTAGATAACGGGCCGTTGATTATATGTCAATAAGACTATTGGGTTGGGGTCTCTAAGATTAAGTTCCCAGCGTTTCGAGAGACCAAGACAATTTTCTAAGAAAATATAATGATAATTAGGAGAAATTTTCTATCTGATTCTCGATCTTTTTATTTTGTCAACTAAATCGTTTAATTATCTAAATGATGTCAACCAAGTCATTTTCCGTTAACATTGGACAGTGGAGTTAACGTGTCACCTTCTGATTGGAGAATTAAGGTTATTGAATTAAATTAAAAATTAATAGAATATATAAGTAATAAGGACTAAATGTAATTATGTCAATTTTGTTAACTTTCGTGTCACTTTCATCAAATGTTGACGACATGTGATGTAATTAATATCAAGTGATATGAATGACAAAATTACAATAATCACCTTTCACATTTGATTGACGTAATGACTTTAAATTGATAAAAATGGAAAATTATTATTTGAAATATACTAGGTTTTGATATGTGTATTAGATTTTGAGGCATATGAGATCTTATATATTTATACTCTTCATGATTTCTATTATATGTAAAGAAAGACAAAGTCAAATTACATCAAATCTTCTTTCTTATGTAATCTATTTTATGTTAATTTCAATTCGATATTTTTTCATTTATAAAGTCCTTCAAATCCGCCTATTGTATGAACTTATTTTTATTATTTAGTAGACAATTTATACACGTTGATAACCTTAAATGAAATTACCAATAAATATGATCAATCCAACTTATTTTTTTTATAAACTATCTATTAAAATTATAATTTATTATATTTTCTCTCTGATTATTTGTTTTAAATTCTTATCTCCATGTTGCTTTCTGATCTGTCACCCACCGACTTTGCAATTTAATTTGGCCAAATTGATATTTGAACAACTGTGTGATTGTTTTATTTTTTTCCTGGAATAAAAAATTGTTTGCGATTGACATTTTGTTTTTTTTTTTCATTTATTTTAGAAAAAGAAAGAAGGGTTTTTAATTTCTAGCCACAAGATCAATGGAACTTTATAAATTATTACAAACCCTACGTGTAATATTGTTGCATTGCTATCAGTTTCCTGATGTGAGAGCCTTAAATAAATGAAGAAACTCCAATTTGAAAGTGGTAAGTGATAATTAAACTACATTTATCTCATTGGTAGGGAGGCTTCTTCGAAAGTGATAAGTGATAATTAACTCAAATTCAATGAGAGATAGAGGCAGAGGGTCGAGACTAAAAACTTGAATCTTTATCTATGATGGAAATAAATTATATTTTTAGAGAAATTATTTGATACATGAATTATGTAAAATATACGATACATGATTATATAGGGTTAGGATTCAGTTACATAATGTAAATTTTTTAATTTTACACTTTTTAAAGATCGTTGGATGAAAGAAAATCAAATGCTAAGATTAACTCCATTTTAACCATTTGCTAATGAATCAATCGCTCTACTACAGTCGTTGGTGCTCAAACCCATGACCTATAAGAACAATAACGATTTTTTAACCACTAGGTAAGTTGGTTTATACTTTTAATAATAAATCTTAAAATATAAAACATTAAACACTAAGCCATATAAATAAACTCTAAATAGAATAAATGATATTAAAATAAACATGATTATGCTCTAAATAGAATAAATGATATTAAAATAAACATGATTATGCAGACTATAATTTACACAACCTTTAAATTAAATAATTTTTCATAATTTTATTTTCAATTGTGACTCCATAGATGGTATTTTTAATATTTTATAAATATCAATAGAAATTAAGGTAACTATAATCGTCACCACTTAACTATTGAGAATGTTAATATAATCATTGATCTTTTAATTCTATCATCATTTCACTTAAATGTTTAAATGATGTCAATCAAATCACTCTCGTTAATATTTGATGGAGGAGTTGATGTGATTGAAAAAAGTCGTATAATTACGTATTTGGTCCTCAATACCTACCCATTCTATCATTCTATAAATTCAATTCTCTAACTAGGATCAAATCGATAGAATATGTAAGTAATAAAGACCAACCTTTAATTATACTCATTTCTTTAAGTTTCATGTTAGATCCTCGGTTAAATATTAACACCATGTGACTTAATTGATATTATTTAAATAGTTAAGTGGTCTAACTAATAAAATCAAAATATTAACAATTAGATTAAAAATAATAAATTATTAAGTGGTCACGAGTAGAATTCACCCTAAAAATTAAATAACAACTAGCTTTATTTGTGGAATTAAAATAACGTTTATATGTATATCAAATTCATAACGATTTCAAAACTGAAAATAGGGTTTGAATATTACCAAGCATTAAAATGACATGTTAGTTTTCAAGCTTAACGTTGCAAAGGCATCACATCACATAGAAAGTTGCTCTATTCATTTTCTCACTACTTATCATAAAGCTTATGACCAATTATTTATATTTGCTAAAGGTGGTGATAAAGGTTAGGTAATCAACAAGCTTAAAGACAAAGCTCACATGATTTATAAATATTATCTTCAAAAATGCATTGAATCTAACCAAATTAGCCCATAATTATATATATATATATATATATATATGTAAGTTGGTCCAGTGAGGAAACTTTAACCACTTCAAGAGTGAGATGATGACAAGGCAAAGACTTCCTTAGCCTCGAAAGAGAGAGTATTCCACTAAAATTTTTGTTTTGCTCCTTTTGTTTAAATGCAATTGATAATATATTAATAATGTGATGCAAGTGGTGAGGGTCATGTGGCAGCCTCTTCTTCTCAAACGTTATCGTGCCTTTACAATGGTAGAATGACTTTTTGACCCCCTTAATTTTATCACTTTAATCATTTCAGTCTTTAAATTTTATTGTGTTGCTTTTACCTCTTGACTCTTTTTTAATCAAATTTACCCAAATATGATGAAATAGTTACTACACTTCTAAGTTGACACAAGTTATATGTCTTTTTCTAGGCCGTATTTCGGCTTAGACGGGAAGGATTCAGAATTTTTATAATATATTATATTTATAAAAAATAATTTTATATCAGTTATAAGACTTAATTATTTTTAATATTGGTTATTAAAGATTTAATTTTCCCTAATATTTATTATTATGAGTATGTTCTTAATTTTTTTAATATTTGTTATTAGAGACTTTTTTTTTCAATACTTATTATTGTGGAGTTGCTCTTAAAATTTATTTTTTCAACACTTGTTGTTAGGAACAATTACTTATATAACGGTTTATAACCACAACATGATCGTTATATAGTAGTAACAACATCGTCTAAAATCGTGATATCCACAATCATTATGTTCACAATAGCATCTTTATTAAAAATTCACAACCATGATATTTACAGTAACTGCAATATCATCTATTATGTTTGCAATAACATCACCTTGAAATTAACAAAATTTGTTGTTATGGAAATGTTGATGTTGACTTTTTATAATTTTTAATATTTTTAAAATTTTCTGATGACATGATAAAAAAATAACAAAATAGTTGAAGTAAACATTTCAATAGGGACAAAACAACGTTGCTTTTTGATCACATTTAGGTCAATTTGGTGAAAAATAAAATTTTGAGGGTCAAAATATAAAAAAGAAATAAAGGTTAAATGATTAAATTGATAAAGTTAAGGGGTCAAAAATCATTCTACCCTTATACAATCAAGGATGAAGGTAAGTTCAGGGAATAACATTGCTTCTTTAATTAAGTAGGATAATTGTAAAATTAACACAAAAAATAATAATATGTTTTAAATACTTTTATCCTTTGATTAAATGGAAAATCTTCATAGTTGGCCCCTGAAAGAAATAATAATTCAATTTAATCTCTTTTTAACTTTGACCTCAAAATCTTATAATTTTTTATCTCAACTCCTAACACAAATTATTGACTTTGTCTATGCTCACAACATTAATTACTATACTAGAGTTTTCCCAAATATTTAAATTTATAAACATTAAAGAACTTTTCATATATTGATTTGTAATAAAAATTCATTTAACAATTCAATCATTCACTTAAAAATAAAATTAAAATATACGTTCATATTTTATATAAAAGCCAAATATACCTACCAAATAAAGTATATTACCCCACGGCTTTTATGTGGTTAAGATTAAGAGTGTGATTATACAAGTAATGTAGACTTTCTAGACCATTAAGATACCTTAAATAAATAAATAAAAAGAAGTGGTTTAAACTTTAATACATTGACCTTCTAAATCCTTTTTATGCACCTTGAGTTAGACTCTGAAATCTCAAAGTCTCCCAGAGAATTTCTCTTCTTCTTCTTCCCTCTGTTACTTGGATTTGGTTCGAAAACACAGTTTCATTTGTATTCTCTGTCCATTTCCATTGAATATTCATCAAAACCCACTTAAAAATAGAACTTGTATTTTGGAGTTCAAAGTCTCAAAACTCTCAAAAGATTGACGAATATCTCGAAGAAATGGTGGGATTCAAGACCATCAAAAAGAAAATGTGGATGTTTTCTTTGTAATCTTTCATCTGATTTGAAACTATCTCCCACTAGAATTGTCCTCTTGCGTTATGGAAGCCACTGCACTGATCATCAACAACAAGAAAGTCGTTAACCATCAAAACTTCCCTCTCCACAAGCTCTCCTTCTGGTTCGCTCCCACCACACGTCCGCCCGGTCTACTCTCTTTCACCTCCGGCTCGTAAAATAACAAAACCGAACTCGTATACACTGCTTAGAATTTGTTATCCCCTTTCTTTTATATGGCTGCTTACTATCTCAACAATAACTTTTCGTTTGAGAATTGTTGTGCTGGTTTTCTCGATCCGTTTTCACGTGATTTGGGACCGTGCGATGGGATTTCCCATGGATGGTCTTTGTCGGCGGCGGCCTCGCAGTCGTTGGTGTTGGATAGCGAGAAAGGAGAACTGGTGAAGACGGCGGTGAAGGCTGGGAAGAAAAGCGTGACGGAAGAGAAAGCTATAGCGGCTCTGAGGAGCCATAGCGAGGCTGAGAGGAGGAGGAGAGAAAGGATCAATGCTCATCTTGATACGCTCCGTACTATCTTGCCCACCGGAAAAAAGGTACTTTTATTACCACACTTTTATCTTCTAAATTTTTCCAAATTATATCTTAAGATACTTTTTTTTTTTAATTTAAATATCCCGTATTTGGATCGAAATCTTTATTAAATCTTGTTCATGGATGCAGTTAATTTGTAGAGATTAGATCAAATGCAACTTATATTTGAATGTAACTTATATTAATTTTTTATTTATCACTCAATCATGTTAAACCTATTATACATTGTTTTAAAAATCTCATAAAATATGATATAAAATCAAAATTTTATTATTTAAACCTTCAATTTTACCTATGGTATACTTCAAAGTTTCAAAAAGATGCATTATTTTTCGACAAATGGTTAGCAACTCTACCTTATAGCTATCAACTTCTTCTCCTCACCTATTATATGTTCGTGTTAGTTGACAATTAACATAATCATAAATTCATAATACGATCAGTTGACATATGACTTCGTAAAATATTACTTTTTTCAGTTAAACCCTAACGTAGCTGTGGGTTCTGTCTCTGTCTTCATGTATAAAATAATGCAGTTAACATATGAATCTGTCCTTTTGTAATAATTAGCCAATTGTCAATATGTTTTTCCTTTTTGATAATTAACCAAGTCAAATGCTCATTGCAGATGGATAAGGCCACATTACTTGGTGAAGTAGTTGCACAATTGAAACAACTGAAGAAGAACGCAACTGAAGCCAGCAAAGGGTTTCTTGTTCCAATGGATGATGATGAGGTCAGAGTTGATGCATGTGATGATGATGATGGTGAAGCCATTGGGACTTGTCGTTTCAAGGCATCGATCTGTTGCGATTATAGACCCGAACTCTTGACCGATCTACGACGAGCTCTCGACACTCTTCCGGTTAAGATGGTGAAGGCGGAGATATCGACATTGGGAAGTCGGCTGAGGAATGATTTTGTTTTTATCGGCTTCCGAACAGCAGCGGGTGCCGATGACGCTGAGGTAAGGGAATATCTAGCACGTTCTATTCGTCAGGCCATGAGTTCTGTCCTGGAGAAGGCTTCTCTATCGGCGGAATACTCGTTGTATTCGATATTTCCGAAGAAGAGGCAAAGGCTATCGTCCTTTGATTCTTCAAGCTCATCTTCATGAAAGAAAGATTACCCTTGCTTCGTTTGTGTCAATCCACTGCGACATCTCTTTTATTTGCTAATAAACATGATATGTATATTATCCAGTCATGTGAATGTTGCCTGTAAATTTATATGAATTTACCTCATTCCGTTTCATGTTATCGAATTACCTCAGCATACATTAGTTTTAGCACAATAGTTTCTTGCCCAATAGGCAGTAGCTGTATATATACACACACACACATCATTGAAAAAGCTTTGGAAATAAAATTGAAAACTCGTTCTTCAGCCCTTAAAGATTTTTCATCTAAGGCTCTAAACCTGAGCTCCAAACCCTATTTTAAGTGGGGGTGAACGCGACGCCTTCGTGTGAATTTATTCAACTTGCGGGCCTAGCAAGTAGCCTTCGGGATTCATATACCTTATGTCTTCGTGAGAATTTATTCACCGTGTGGGCATAAGGGAATGTGTCCTCTCGAGTTTAACTTAGTCCACACAAGCCTGTAATGGGTTTAGGACTAAGGGTCTGGTAAGCCCAAGGGGCACCGGTAAGGAGAACTCGGGTACCGTTTTTTAGAACCTAAACCGAGAGACTATAGAGAATTAGAGCCTACCCCAAAACCACATTCAAAACCTAGGATGTTTTTACCCTAACCTTTCTATTTGTTTGTCTTTCTACTTTTCGTTTTTTCTTTCATCATTTATTTATTTTATTTTATCATTTTTATTCTGTTAATTTTTTGCCTTTGTGTTTGTTTTAAAGCACTTGCATCATTTAAAAGAGGTGTTGATCCACCAAAAACGTGTTTGTTAAGCATGAATAATCTGTATTAATGGACAAAGGGATTGTAATACAAGATATGAAAATACAAAGGACAGTTTACAAGGTGACTATGTGTCACATTCAATCCAGAAGATGTGGTGCCCACAATTGAAGAGTATATCACTCTGTTGCATTATAAGTTACTCAGAATGAACTGGGTCTACACCAAGCACAATGAAAGTCTATCTTTGAAGAACTAACTGACAGAGGTTGCAGGGGCAAGATGAAGGTTATTGATCTTGGGAGTCCCTTCAAAGAAAACAATGGCAAAGCGATAGCTGAAATTGGAGACTATTGCTGACACAGACAAATGAACTTCATATAGTTCTTATCGATTGAGGGCTCCAATGACGTATTCGCTGGGAATAGGTTCAACAAAGGATAAATGCCAGAGAAGCGGTCATTCGGGACTTCTTGGGCCAATACAAAAAGCAACTCAACATTTGCACGGTTCATCCAGAGAAGCCAAAGAGGTTCAACAGGTTATTCAACCGGTGACAAAAGAAGGCAGAAGACTAGTCAACATGTCAGAAGCTGTCAGGATATTTTTTGTCTCTTAAAAGATAAAACACTTTTGTCACCAATAAAGATTATTCATAATAACATACACATTTTTTGGATCAATGTCTCGGATATTTCATGCATTATGCATTTAGACATATTTTGCATTTTGTTATTTTCTTTGCATTCACATTAAACTAACGGAATAATGCTTTAAAAAAAAGGAATAAATATTGGATACACCACCTCAAGCGTTGGACACACCCCATCCGTATAACACTCGCTTGAAAAAGAGTCAAATGGAGGCTAGAATCATTCAGATCGAAGAGAATATGGAAAAATTACAGAAAGCGCTAGAAGATAAAATGACTCAGAACTGTAAGAGTACCCTGGATTCCATCACGAGAAGCCATGAGTCCTTAGTCGACCAAAACGTGGCTAAGTTGTATGGTTTACAACAAGCAAGCAAGTGCACCCGAAGTAGGTACGTCTGAGGGGATAACCATATCACCGACCCCGCAGGTGGTTATTTCACCCGAGATCATACCCGGATCGCAAGAAAACTCTTCTTCTACCAAAGGAAAAGCATCATCTGCTGCGAAGGGGCAAACTTCCAAAACTTATCCTGGCAACCATCCGGATGATTACAATATCCCAGATTTCGATGAAGATGAAAAGCAAAAAAGATGGTAGAGAAGATCAGAATGCTAGAAGATCAGATGAAGATGGTCCAAGGGGACTATGATTATTATGGAGTGGACGCAATGGAATTGGGTCTGGTTCCGATCTAGTGCTTCCACCAAAATTCAAAGTCTTGGAGTTCGAGAAGTTCGACGGGAACAGCTACCCTTTAGCCCATATCACTATGTTCTGTCGGAAGATGACAGGATATGGGGGAAATGGCCAACTCCTGATCCATTGCTTTCAGAAGAGCCTGTCCGGTTCAGCTAGCCGGTGGTACAACCAGCTCAGTCGAACTCATATCAAGACGTGGAAAGACTTAGCCAATTTTTTTTTGAGCAATACAAGCATATTAATGATATGAGACCAGACCGGGTTATGCTACAAAGCCTGAAGAAAAAGCACAATGAAAGTTTCCGAAAATACGCACAGCGATGGAGGGATTTGGATATGCAAGTTCATCCACCTTTGGATGAAAAGGAAACTAGGAAGTTATTTGTACAAACCCTGAAGACACCTTACTTCAGGCACCTAGTGGCAATCACATAGGAAGTTTCTCAGATCTAGTTATGGCTGGTGAGATAATCGAGCTAGCTATAAAACAAGGAAAAATTAAGGGAATGGACTCCAGTAAGAGGCCTCCCATGAAGAAAAAAGAGTAAGAGATCAACAATGTCAACACCTACAACACTAACAAAGGTGTTACGATCCCAACCACTGCAGTTGTACCATCTGGTACTTCTAAACGAACTCAGAGAGAACTAAGGAATAAAAGGGAATCTTACCTGACTAATCTGGGGATTAGACCTCATAATGTCTTCCATAAAAAGACTCGCATCAGTCCAATCCCAATGACTTATGATGAGTTGCTCCCAATGCTAGTTGAGAAGAATTTTGTGACTCTGGTTCAATCCAAACCTATAGAGGCCCCATATCCTGAAGGCCATGATATTAACGCCACATGCAGTTATCATATCGGGAGTTCAGGGCACACTACTGAGAACTGTGGGGTATTGAAACGTAAGGTCTAAGATCTGATCGATTCAGGGGCATTGACTTTCATTGAGTAATGAGGCATTGATCGAGTTGATTGGGGCATCCATCATGACTTTTGTTGTGTTCTCATCTTGTTTGAAATTGTTCTTCTTTTATGCTTCTTATGTTCAAAAGTCACTTGACGTTCAAACATTTTAAATAAAATGATTCTTTCTGAGAAAATGAGCAACTTTTAATCTTGAATTCCTTGAATATCACCTTAATTAAAAGCTGCTTAATAATTGAGGTTGTAAATCTTTGACAAATGAAAAGATTGAACCCTATAAAACAAAAACCCCTTGATCCTAATTTAAAAGATACATCAGACTACATACTCTTCTCTTATAGGGACCGAGCTCGTTTTCTCTTCTCATGAAGAGTATGTCAAAGGTTTGGTATTCAGGTATGTGTTAGGAGCGAACAAAATGGGGCAACTAGCATATGAGATTGCAAAAACTAATTGGTTTCTACTTATGTTAATGACGTTCAGTGATGATCATGATCTTCTCAGATGGAATGGTAAAATAGATGAATCTAGTTTAGGTCAGTTGCTTGGGAATTGAACTCTAACGATGAGATATTCTGACCTTCAAAAACACCTAGACTATAACAGGTTCTTCTTAACAAACTTAAGAAATTGGGCCCGTATACCCACATTAATATTATTTATATACAATAAAGCTTGAGTTGTCCCTCTAGAGCAATTGGTTAAACACCCCGGCTTTATGGATAATATTCAGGTAGCTTGATAAAGGTGATTATACTATACAATAAAGTTTGAGATGTCCCTCACAAGGCAATTGGTTAAACGCCCCAGCTTTATGGATAAGATTCAACTAACCTGATAAAGGTATTTACATATTGAGCTGTCCCTCTAGAGCAATTAGTAAAACGCCCCGGCTTTATGGATCCAGCTAGCCATTTAAAGGAAAATTTAACTAAGGAGTTTTGGTAAAATGGACTAAGGGATTTAAGGAACACCTATGAAGCTTGAACAAATGGAAGATTTCAGAGAACTAAAATAGAAGTGTTCTAATAGGTCTAGCCATTGATTATGCTAGTTGTTTCATTTTCTTCGCCTCCAATCAAAATGCCAAATCAAGAAAGAGGGGATTGACATGGTTTTCGCGATGATCGAATCGATGAAACAAACCTTAATAACCCACCTCTAAACAAACTTTTTCGGTATTGATATTTGTCAAAGATTTGCAGCTATCAAAGCTTAAAAGAGAATTTGATTATTTTGATATCCAATAAACTCTTGTTTTATGATTTGTTTCAATTATGAAACCTAGAAGGAGGCAATATTTTTCAAAACTCCTTTTGATATTTTTCAAAATTTTGAAAATTCAAAGAAAAAAGCATTTTCAAACAAGATGAGTTCTCTTGAAGCATGTCTTGGAAATCAACGAATATCTATCTGAAGCTCAAGATTGAAGCTGGGGTAGGAGAAGCCAATTTTTTGGGGCAAAATTTGTTGGAGTAAGGAAAATAAATTGTCTTAGGTTGAGGTTTACAAGAGTACACCCTGGTGGAAATGAAGACAAACTGAGTCAGAGATAAAATGAAGATTATTCCCTTCACATATCAATATTTTGTCATCAGATTTAAGCATATTGAAGAATCCAAGATCAAGAATCAGAAATTTAAGATTCAGCATCAAGAGTCATCGAGACTGGCAACCAGAGATTGAGATTTCTCTCCAAACCCTAAAATAACATGTTTCGCATATACATTTTAGAAATACAAAAGAGCATTGCATTCATAGCATTGCATATGTATAATTTTGCTTATTCATGCTAGAGTCAATTTCAACTTCTCAGCGAAAGATATTGAACTCAAAAGAAGTGCAATTTACAAGTGGATCTAAACTTCACAACGAAGAACATCCAATTAAAAGCTCAATTTCACAGCGGATGAGCCATCCACGATTTCAATTTCAGGAAGAAGGATATCATGCCCGATGGAGTGATCTAGTGTCACAACAAACATGTCATCCGTAGATTTGACTTCCTTAAGTCAACGATTAAAGCTTCTGAAAGGATTTCTTTAACATGCATGAACAGGTAGATTATCGATCACCTTTGAGATTGTTTCTCTCGAAACAAGGGGTCGCCTCGCTCAAGACTAATTTACTCAAAACAAAGTTTTGTATCTCTTGAGACAATTTCTCTTAAAA